TTTGGGCACTGTTCAGAGAAGAGAATGGCTTCTTATTTTTGATAAGAATTAAGGCACAGTGCTCACCTTGACCCATCTATAAACTGATCCAGGTTTTTTGGACTAATATTTGGACTAAAAGATTTGGACATACATGAGCGTCCTTTACAAACACACGTCAATGAATATAGTTTAACTGTTGCTTGGATAACTTTATGCCCAGGAAATGGGGAATATTCCCCTATACCTCTGGGCAGACATGGAGATCCCCCCCATTCCAGATGAGGCAAAATACTCTGGATCACTAAGTACTTTGCTCTACAAAGTTATAGTAGCTGCACGCTATTTTATTTGTCATGGCTCCATTTGCCTGAAGCCTGAGTTTTCTGAACAAACATGAGAGATCTTGAGCACAGAAGCACAGGATTCCAAATACCTCACTAAACTACAAATCCCAGGATTAATAATAATAATATAATAATAATAATAATTTACTATTACCTGTCTCTCCTTTTGTTGCCATACAGCTTATAGCCATTGCAGAATGTACCTCTTTGTTACATTTCCTTGACACACTTTTCCTAAACTGTCAAACCTAGAATGAAGATGCCGGGACTACAACCTCTGTGTGCTATTTATCTATCTCTGCCTGATGAAAAAGCCACCAAAGTCCTGAAAGCTACGGGATACACACATACACAAACACATTTGGTTGACCCAATAAAGGTGATATCACATGATTGATTTCAGATCTTGGTGTTCTGATTTTCTTTTAAGGTTGACATAAGTGCCACTGCAACACCTCTCTTATTGGAACTTGAATGTTCCTGCAAGGGAGGTAGCTGTCTCTTTGTGCCTTTGCCACAGGCTGACCCTGGGGGTGTCACTGAGGCTGGATCTACACTGCCATATAATCCAGGTTATCAAAACAGATAATAGAGATTGTCTGCTTTGACCTAGATTATATGAGTCTACACTACCATATAACCCAGTTCAAAGCAGACAATCGGGATTGTGTATGGCAGTGTAGATAAGGCCTGAGGTGTGTGGGACAAAACGAGGCCAACCTTCACACATTCGCAATGAAGATTTTCTTTCTGTTTCCAAATTTATAGCACCACAGTTACTTAAAAAAATCATAACCTTTGTGGCCCTGAGCTGATACAACAACTCCAACTGCTCATTGAAAAAATGTGGGCGATTGAGAAAATCCCAGCAGACTTCTAAGATGAGTTCTACCAGAAGACACCCTCTCAAAATCCCAGAATGGCCTCTGCCCCTCCAGAGGAATAGTGGACATGATCTACACTGCATGACAGCTCCAAAAATATATATGCAGGGAACAAAATCAACCTCTATACATGGCATTCATTGACCTTGCAAAGGCATCCAACACAGTGAATCTCAGCGCTCTCTGGACTATCCTCCAAAAATCAGATGCCCTGACAAATTTGTGAGCATTCTGCAGCTCCTCCATAATGACATGATAGCAACAGTCTTGGACAGCAATGGCTCCCAGTGACCCATTTAAGGTGGAATCGGGTGTCAAACAGGGATGTGTTATTGCCCCAACCTTATTCTCCATCTTCATTGCTATTGTGAAGCTTCCCAATGGTGTGGAAATCATCTATCAGACAGATAGCAAGTTATTTAACCTCAGCAGATTGTAAGCCAAAACCAAGATCACAACAGTATGTTATAAAACTCCAATATGCTGATGACAATGTAGTCCATGCTTATTCAGAAGGAGACCTACTAGCCACTCTAAACATCTTTGCAGAAGCATGCAAAAAGCTTGCCCACTCACTGAACATTTAGAAAACCAAAGTGCTCTTTCAGCAGGCACTAGCCTTCCCTCTGCAATGCCAGAAATACAGCTTAATGGTGTAACATTAGAAAATGTTGACTATTTCTGCTACCTTGATAGCCACATCTCCACAAAAATCAACATTGACACTGAAATACAACACCGTCTGATCTCTGTGAGTGCAGCATTCTTCCAACCAAATGAAGCAGAGAGTGAAGATTGGGACATCCGTAGAGAGACCAAGATGCTTGTTTATAAAACTATTGTCCTCCCAACCTTGTTTATATGCCTGCGAAATGCGGACTGGCTACAGATGTCACAGTCAAATCCTGGAACGATTCCATCAGTGTTGCCTCTGAAAAATCCTGCAAATCTCTTGGGAATACAGGATGACAATTTTCAGTGTTCTGGAAGAAGCAAATCCCACCAGTATTGAAGTGATGACCCTCTGCCATAGGCCCATAGCCAGGATTTTGATTTGGGGGGGGGGGTGAGTTTGTGGGGGGGGGCTGAGTCTGAGTGAAAGAGGGTCTACCCTAGCAAACCTTTTGTATCGTTACCCCAATACCCCCATGCATATGAGATATATTGAGCATGGTGATCAGATCATGATATGAATAAACATAACAGTTTAAATAATGTACCAGTAAGGCCTTTTCGCAGACCACCATGAGAATTTGGGGGGGGCTGAAACCCCCAAAGCCCCCCCCCTGGCTACATGCTTTCTCTGACATTAACTCTGCAGGACTGGCCACGTTGTCCAAAGTAGTTACTCAGCTCTCAACTGAAGAACGGAAAACCGAAGGTTGGTGGATAGGAAAAGAGATTTAAAGATGGGCTTAAAGTCAACCTTAAAAACTGGCTTAGACACAGAGAACTGGGAAGCCCTGGCCCTTGAGTGCTCTAACTCAATGTAATCTGTTACCAACAGTGCAGTGGGATTTGAAGAGGCATGAATGGAGGGTGAAAGGGAGAAATGTGTCGAAGAAGGCGCATCAAGCCAACCCTGACCGGGACTACCTTCCACCTGGAAAATGACGTCCTCACTGTGGAACAACATGCATGTCATGAATAGGTCCGTCCTGGGCCTGGTCCTGTTCAACATCTTTATAAACGACTTAGATTAAGGCTTAGAAGGCACAATCATCAAGTTTGCAGATGACACCAAATTGGGAGGGATAGTCAATACTCCAGAAGACAGGAGCAGAATTCTTAACAGATCAGAGATGGGCCAAAACTAGCAAAATGAAGTTCAACAGTGACAAATGCAAGATAC